TTTTTTTTTTTTTAACTCAAGACCTCACACTTGCTAGGCAGGCACTCTTACCACTTGAGCCATTCCACCAGCCTTGCTTTCCATGTCTTGTGTCTATGTTGGCTAGGAAGATTCATTCTGTGTCTCTTCTGCCATCAGTTCAGTTTCTTTGTGACCAGATTTGGTCTCATGTCAGCTAAGTAATGTTCTGTGTTACCTGTGGGTCCTATTCTTTCCTGAGGTGTGTTTTTTTTTTCCCCCTATTTTCGGTGCTGGAGATCAAATCCAAGGCCTGTGCCTGCAAAACACATGTTCTACCACTGAACTACATCCCCAACCCCTGAACTATGCTTCTGGAATCTTAACTGCTTGTCCTTATCAAAGCCTTTAGCTACTTCTTCTTTTCTTTTCATTTGAATTCCATAAGCTTCTGGCTAGCAAATTGGAGTCTTCAACCCCAGAGGAGCTTGTAACTTTAAAAATGTTGGCAAAGAGTCAGGGAGCAAAATACCTGCTTAGCCATGTGTATCTTAGAGTGGTACCTAGGAATTTCCTCTTCTAGTTTTTTTTTTTTTTGACAGCATTTATGTAGCCTAGGCTGGCCTGGAACTCATTACAAAGCTCAGGCTGAGCCAGGTGCCAGTAGCTCACATCAGTAATCCTAGCTTTTCAGGAGGCAGAGATATGGAGGATCATGGTTTGAAGCCAGCCTAGGCAAGTTCAAGAGACCCTATCTGGAAAAATATGCAATCAAAAAAGGGCTGACAGAGTGGTTCAAGTGGTGGAGTACCTGCATAGCAAGCATGAGGTCCTGAGTTCAAACTCCATTACTGCAAAAAAAAAAAAAAAAAAGCCCAGGCCTGATCCTCCTGCTCATTCTTCTGAGTGCTGGAATTATAGGTGTGCACCATCATGTCAGACTCTTGTAGTAATTTTACTTTATTTACCTTATAAATAGAATTGAGAGAGGAGGATCTTGTTACAGTTTTTACACTTGATCTTAGCCAAAAGGCCAGAAAAGCAATGTTGCAGTTTCTAATTGTTCAAGACCTATTGCCAAACCAGGGTAGCCCCTTTTGGTGTGGCCCTAAGGATTTCTTTTTAAGTAGAGAATGAAGAACTTTCCAGGAATCTTACCTATTCTTACTTGTGCTCTATCTGTGGATAAAAATCTAACTCCATAAAGGCTTCTTGGTTTTTGTCCTCCTACATGAATCAAATAGTTCAGAAATATCCTATCTACTTGCTGTAAGCACTTCCTCCAATCCTTTGGTGGCATTTCAAGATCTTACCTCAAAGTGTTTACCTATTTCTCCTAGTCTTATTTAAAAGGCACACACATAACTTTTTTTTTTTTTTCCATTGCTGGGAATGGGACCAGCAAGCTACACCCGCAGCCCAAATAGCTGCAGTCAAAAAGGCAGAACTGGCTTTTTGATAATTTTGCCAATGACAATAATCCTGAGGAAGCTGCAGGTCACCCAGAAGGCCCACAGGGGGCAGCACTAGGAATGACTGTCCCCTCTCCTCTGTGTGCACAGGAGGGACTTCTGGGAGATGTTTCTTACCAGACTTCTGAAGCCCTTGATTGAGATCAAAGACCCATTTGCAGCAGCCTAGTTGTTTGTTTGATGGTGTTTCAGCTATCTTGAGGACAGCTTTCTAGTTTTCTTGATAATAAAAACAGACATGAAAATCTATCTGAATCACTCCTCCCACAAAGCAATCTGCCTATACATCATTTCCAGGCACCGTTAGCATTTGAGGTGAAGTTCTGTTATACACTCAGGCTGTGGCTCTCTGAAAGTCAGTGCATCACAGAACTTTGTCTCGAAAGCTTTCTAGCAGCTACCCATTTTGGGAGTAGGAGCAAAGAATAGATCTTTTAAATTCTTTGAATAATGCCCTAAGCATGTAGGATCTTTCTCAACAATCAGCATTTAATGCATTACAAGGGCAAAACCTACTCCATTGTCCAGGAAGCCCATTTCTCTGTAGCTGGGAGTTATTTATAAACTTACCCTTTGCAAAAACTTGAAGTGAAATTACATTATCTGTAAGGGCTTCTGAGGTCTTTAAACTGACTGGTTTTATGGCATGAGGGGAACTGCTGGCCATCCCCATTCCTGAGAGGTAAAGGCCCCAGGCTAAAGTGGAACCAGCTGCAGTCGGGAGGTGGCAGGAGACGTAAAGGAGAAGCTTCTGGTTCCTGCTACAGTAGCAATCACACAGCATTTATATGCTGTGGCCTACATTCTCAGCTTTTTAAAATCTGCTTCTTTGGAAGTTTGAAATAGCCTTTTCCATAATGCCTTCCTTCTTCTTCCAGAGCTTTAAAATCTCAAATCTGGTTTTATTCCTTGTCTTCCTGGGGTATCTTTTACCTTACCCAAGAAGACACAGTGCTTCTGTTTGGGGACTTCTTTGGTCATGTCTTCTAGGAAGACAGTGAAAAAAGCCAGGAGCAGAACCCAGGGATGTTTCTCTCTGCCAGCATGGCTGTTTAGGCATTCACACTGTGTTGGCCACAAGAACATTGTTGGCTCTTCCAGTTGGCTGGTAGCCCTTAGGGCTTTTCTTTTTCAGGGGCTCCTGTTCCTTCTAGGGATTCCAGATTCTCTGGCTGCAAGAACCAATAATTTATACCAGATTAAGGCCTTGTTTGAACTGGTGGGCAGCTTTCTAAGGTTGCTATGAATTAGGATAGAGGGACAAAACCATGGATTTTTAGGGAAAAAGTTAAGGAAAAATATTTCTTTTTAATTTCCTTCTATTTCTATTTTCCTTCTGCTAAGAGAACTCATGTCCATTTGTGTCTACCTTTTGGTAAATTGAAGAGCCAAGGTGCTGTAGAACAGAGCCAGCTTTACAGGAAGATCTTTCTGTGAGGAACTAGGAATTAGAAGAGCTACTTCTATTTGTGAACTTTTAGATTGGACTCGAGGACTTCCTTCTGCCAGATAGCAGAGTTCCTGAGTTGGAGAGGGGAGTCTTCCCATCTTGTTTATTTCAGAGTGTATATAGGATGGGCAGCTCTAATGAATGTGGCAGAGGACAGGTGAATTAGGTAGTATCACTCCAAATGGTCACACTACAAAATCGACTCGTGAAATCTAATTATAATAAGTCATCACATCAAGATATTTTTATTTTATTCTCAAATTTCCTTCTCTCAGTTGAGCATTTATTATGTGTCAGATATTGTTTTGGACACTTGGGATAAATCAGTGAACAAAACACAACAATCACTATCCCCAAGAATTCTAATCGGGAAAGATTACATTACTTATCGCCTTGTTGTGAAAACAATGGGTTTCACTTTACTCCCATTTGTTTGTTTGTTTGTTTGAGACAGTGTATTACTCAATAGCCCAGGCTGGTGTAGAACTCTTTTGGTGGTACTTAGGGTTTTATACTTGCAAACTTGAGCCACACCTCCAGCCTTTTTTGCTTTGGTTATTTTGGAGATAGGGTCTCCCTTTTTTCCCAGGCCAGCCTGGACCAGGTTGGTCTTAGTATTTTAAGCTTCCTGCCATCGCAGGGATGACAGGCATGCTACTGCATCCAGCTATTGGTTGAGGTGGAGTCTTGAAAACTTTTTTGCCTAGGCTGGCCTAGAACCATGATCCTCCTGATCCCAGCCTTACAAGTAGCTAGAATTACATGGCCTGGAACTTTTAATCTTCCTACCTCCACCTCCCTAGTGCCTTTCCTCCTATTCTTAGTTTAAGCTAGGGTTGATTGTTTGCATAGAACCATGCACCTCTTGGAACCTCCCTTTTTAGGGCCTGCAATTTCTAGATCCTTAGCAATGATTCTTTCCTCTTCCCTTTGGGTCTTTGTTAAACACATGCTTGCAGAATGTGTTTGGGCCCTTTTAAGACTGGACTTCCTAAATAATACCAGGAAAGAGAGTAGCAAAGCAACAGCCTTGTCTCATAGCATACTGGGTATTCATTGCAAATGAATGTTGAATAGAGAGACAAGGAGTGTGAGACAACTGTTCACTTACCACTGCCTTCCCTTATTTCCCTTTTCATGTCCTTCTTAGCTGGTTCCCTAGAAGTTGCAGGGGTAGAGGAGAGCACCAGGTCACTGCAGCTTTTGCTTGTTTGTAGTTGAAGAAGGAAGTTAAATGTAACCATTAAAGTTGAGGCTGTGATTCCTTTATGAGAGCCAGTATCCTCCGTTCAGTTTTTTGTTTCTCCAGCCCCTCAGTTTGATTGTTAGTGAAGGTTTCTTAGTGAAATAAAACTCCTTCCTGCTCACTACCTCCAGGCCCCAGGATATTTCTTACTGCTTACGACCCCCAAAATTCATGGTTTTTGTTCTAACAGGTTAAGTGGTAGTGTTTAGAATATAGTGGAGGAATTGGGTTTCATAGGACAGATTTGGATAATGTCTGTCTCTTTGCATTCAGAACTGGAGAGTGGGAGAGAGGGAGGTAGGGAGGGAGAGAGAGAGAGAATGTGAGTCCATCTGCATGCATGCCTGTGTAAACACTCATTTTCCTCTGCTCAGTGTGTGGGTGGTTTAGAAAAGGCTTGCTTTATGCCTCTGCATTGCTCCTGCATTGGGACTGCAGAAACTTCTAAGTATACTAAGACATTTAATCTTATTTTCAAGTCACGTGGTGCAGTGCTTATTAATTAATATAGTCACATTCCATACTCACCTATGCATGGGAGATCAGGGAGGGAGGGAGGGCAACTTGGAAAATAACTGCAGCATAATATTTGGAAATACCTGCCCGACCTACCTTGATTAAGCCCTCCATGAGTGAGAGACACTGTTTCTCTGATGCTGCTTTGGAGTCCTTTGTTGAAATGCACCCTCCTTCTGTTCACCCACTATTTAGTCATCCTTAATGGAAAATGTTAAAATCCAATTATATTGGGATAGGGGACATACAGAGGCCCCTCTGTAAACCCTTGCAGCCCCAGTGTGGCTAGGGGAAGTTATCTGGCTTGCCAGTGGTGGTGGGACCTTTCAAGACTGAAGATATGTTCATATCTCTTTAGGAACCGTCCCTGTATACTGTCAAAGCCATCCTGATTCTGGACAATGATGGAGATCGACTTTTTGCCAAGGTGAGATTTCCTTTCAAATTAGTTTAGTAGCAGAACAAAGACATTCTTAGATTTGAGTCTTGGGATTCACTCTATTAGCTCACATTCTTCAGTAGTATAATTTTGAGAATTCTTCCATCTTACTTTGACTACTCCAACAAAACCTAAGTTTTCTTGTGTCTCTTAGTTGTACTGCTTCCCTGCTTGCTAGCCTCATACTTTGACCTCCTTTGTTACCTTTATCAGAACAGAGAAAAACTTTGGAACCTTGCTTCCTGAACAAAGCATTATCTAGATGTTAGAAGCAGTCTACCCATGTCCATCACTCCTGTCCCTTTCCCTCCTGGGTTTTTCCAGGGAATTCTCTTGTAGTTCCAGGGTCCCAGCCTTAGGTTTGCAATACTCACCAAGTTTCTTACTTCTTGATTTCCCCATTGTGATGTGTCTAACTTTGGACCTATTGAAAGAGAGCAGAAAAACACCCTTCTCCTCCCTCCATATTCTCCCCCTCCTGTAGAAATTTCTTTCTGTCCCTGGTGTATTAACTCTGGGCAAGTGTAGCATAAATCAATCAGCAGGTAGAGATTAGTTTAGAATTCACCAGCTGTTCCTCCCTGTAATTGGATGTAACTATGCAGGACACCTTTTGAAACAGTTATCCAGTTACTAAATGCCAGACCTGTCATAGGTCTTCAGCTGACTGCGACGGATTAGCCCCTAAAGAGCAGAACGATTTAGCAGCCTGCATCTCCACCCCCTTGGCAGGGAACACTTGGGAGTGGGCTCAGCAATGTGCTAGATTGCCCCCTGCTTTTTTCAGTTTGCAGAAATGAAAGCTAAGATAGGAGAGCCCACAGGGCAGGACTTGCCTTGCTTTACAGGAGATTTTTACAGCCCTTTTCCATTCTTCAGTGAGTGAAGAATGGGTCTTTGTGCAGTAAGAGAGGGTCTTAGGAAGTGTCCTGTGCTTCTAGTGTTTGTTGCTTTCTCTGGCACTAGTCCCTCACATGGGGCAGCTCCTAGGAAGCACTTGATAGGACTGTTCTTAGGAGAGCTCTCTTTAAATGCAGACATGAGCAGAGCCTCATCAGAGGGCTGGTAGACCTCTGCCTTCAAATAGTCTTAGAAATAAGAAGTAGGGTTACTTACAGCATAGTCCTTTAGTTTTTTTTTTCTTTTCTTTTTTAAAAATTTGATTACTTGCTGCCTATTCCTAGCCTCTGCAGTCCTTCCTTCTCCGTGTCAATATTTCTTCCTTGTCCCAGGTCTTGAAGGAGAGAAATCCAAGATCCCAAGGCAAAACATAGTCACTAATCATTCTGAGCTCCCAACTCTAATGACCCAACTCTGTCTCCTTTCTCTCTGACCAGTACTATGATGACACCTACCCCAGTGTCAAGGAGCAAAAGGCCTTTGAGAAGAACATTTTCAACAAGACTCATCGGACTGACAGTAGGTCATTTTCCTTTCACTACCCCTGTGTTAGGAGGAACCATGGAGAGTTGTGGATGACAACAGGGCTACAGAAAAAGGATAAAATGACTGTCTCCTTTTTCTTTTTTTCCTCCTCCCCTCATATAATAAACTCTTCAGAAATGTAATGGGGAGGTGAGTGTACCTCACACGGGAATACCGTGCTGGAAGGTTGGCTGTTAGCTACCTGTCTAGTCCCTGGATTTATGAGCCTCACTTGACAAATTTAACTGCAGCTCTGCTTATTGTACCGCATCCATTAGGGCAGGTAAATGGAAGTCTGTAAAGGTGACCGCTCTGCATTTTCACCTCCGAAGGATCGACTAGTATCCTGTCTCATATACACGGAGGGAAATAAGTGTACTGAGCAGGAATGGAGGAGGGAGGTTAGAGGAGAAGATATGTTTAGACTCCCCCAAGTTTATACATCCCTTGTGCTGCCACCCAAAAAGAACAGGTCAGTTTCAGTTTTGTAGGTCGTTACAGCCTGCTTTACTTCAACCCAAAGAGCTGGACACCAGGAGTTCATGGTAACTCTTTCTGTTCTACTTCCTCTTCTCAGGCTACTCACTGTTTCCATGTTTCCCTCACACCCCCCAGGTGAAATTGCCCTCTTGGAAGGCCTGACAGTGGTATATAAAAGCAGTATTGATCTCTACTTCTATGTGATTGGAAGCTCCTATGAAAACGAGGTGAGAATTGCCACCCCTCTTTGCTATCTCTGATGCACTTCCTAAACCACAGGCAGGACATAGCCATTGATTTGGGGCTTTGCAGAGCCACAACCCATGGCTTCTTTTTTTTGTCAGTACAGGGGCTTGAACTCAGAGCCTTATTTTTGCCCTTACTTTTGCTAGGCAAGCACACTACCGCTTGAGCCACTTTACCAACCCTGTTTTTGTGTTGGATATTTTTCGAGATAGGGTCTTGCAAACTATTTCCCCAGGCTGGCTTAGAACTGTGATCCTCCTGATTTCTGCCTCCTGAGTAGCTAGGATTACAGGCGTGAGCCACTAGTGCATGGCCCATGTGGCTTCTGACCAAGCTAATTAAAGTGGTCAAAACTCTCCACCAGCCTCACAAACGTGGCCCAGCAAATGAATCAGCGTAGAAAGGAGGTTTTATCAGATTTAGTGTTCTTTTTTAAATTTTTATTTTTTATTTTATCTCTGTAGAAGACACAATATGTTTTAATACCCTTCCCTGCATACTGTTTAAGGTAGATTTCTGAGGTGTGGTCAGTGATATGGTGGGATACTAGCTTCTGCTGATGAATTTGAGCCAGTTAGCAGATATTCTGGGTCTTGTTGAAGCCATACTGTGTGAAGGGGTCACTTGATAAAGTCATACAGTGTGAATGAAACTGTGGGTATAAATCCTTACCTGCTTCCTGGAAAGGAAGGAAAAACTATTTACCTCAGGTGGTAGCAACTTCCATGGGAGTAGATAAGGTAAAAATAAACCCCCAGATAATTTTATGCCAAAGTAAGAGTTTGAGAGAGCCACCTCCTGCTGAGTTCTTATTGTTGTGCATGCTTGGTAAAGTATATTATTATTATTACTGTTATTTAAACCTTGAAGCATTCTACCTGGGGATGTAGCTCAAGCATCAAGCACCTGCCTAGCAAGTACTGAAGTCCTGAGTTCAAACCCCAGTACTGCTAAAACAAAACAAAACAAAACCTTGCAGCACAAATAAGAAAAAGCAAACAAACAAAAACCCTTGCAGCACTTCTATGAGTTGAAGGCATTAAAACTTTTGTTTTACCCATGAGGAAACCAAACCACAAGAAACCATATGAAATTGCTTGTATTTAACTTTTGTTAAATTACAAAAGTAGCAGTTTCATGTGGTTTAGCCTAATAACCCTTTCAGGGTCACCCATGTAAAAATGGCTTAGCTGGGATTCAAGCCCAGACCTTTCTGATTCAAAAGCCCATGCTCAGGCTGGAGGTATAGCCCAGTGGAGTCTGCAGTTAGTATGCTTGAAGTCCTGGGTTTGCTCCCCAGCACCACATAAAAGAAAGGAAAAGAAAAAAGCTCATGCTCTTTCTACTAGTTCTGCTTCCTTCCCTGATGTCAGCTGTTGCTTGGTTAATGATTTCTCTTTTTAGACATTAGGTAACAAATAGATGATTGGTGAAGACATGTAGAAGACTATGATACCAAAGTTCTCTCTGAACGTCTGGCTAAAAGAGATCTCAAATTTAGGGGTCATGTAGAAGAATTCACTATTTTTTTTCTTTTTTCAGTACCAAGGAGTGAATCCCAGGGCCTTATACATGCTAGGCAAGCAGTCTCCCACTTGGGCCACACTCCCAGCCCGTTTGTTTTATGCTTTGTTTTTGAGACAGGTCTCACTAAGTTTTTCCCTGCCTTCAACCTTTAGTCCCCTAACTGGAGATCCTCCTCTTTCTGCCTCTCAAGTTGCTGGCATTACAGATGTACACCACCAAGTCTGGCAAGGATTCATCTCTGTTAGAAACCACAGCCGGGCACTGGTAGCTCATGTCTGTAATCCTAGCTACTCAAGAGGCAGAGATCAGGAGGATCGCAGTTCGAAGCCAGCTCGGGAAAATAGTTTCACGAGACCCTATCTTGAAAAACCCTTCACAAAAATAGGGCTCCTGGTGGAGTGGCTCAGGGTGAAGGCCCTGAGTTCAAACCCCAGTACCACAAAAAAAAAAAGAAAGAAAGAAACCACAGATCCTCTTCCTGTTGTGCTCATACCTTATATTTTTGGTCCTTTGTAAAAGCCTGTGTGTTTTGATGTTTAATGAATTGGAGAGTTTTGTTTGTGAATAGCAGTTTTCAAGGAACTTGAACCTTTTCTTTTGCTTCTTCTGTCTCTCAACAGCTGATGCTTATGGCTGTTCTAAACTGCCTCTTTGACTCTTTGAGCCAGATGCTAAGGTAAGCAGCCGTTCTTGATGTTGGTTTGGAAGAGAAAGTATCCTTTTTTGGGGAAGGGGGACAGGAGGAGAGTGGAACTGTGATTTGAACTCAAGGCTTCCTGCTTGCCAGGCAGGCGCTCTGCTGTTAGAGCCATGCTGTCACCCCTATTTTCTCTGGTTAGTTTTGAGACAGGGTCTCGCTTTTTGACCCTGGTCCTGGACTGCGATCCTACTATAAACTTCTCACCATCACTGGGATGACAGGCATGTGCCACCATGCTCAGCTTTTTTCCACTGAGATGGGGTCTTGCAAACTTCTTGCTAGGCTTGCCTGGAACCATGATCTTCCTGATCTTAGTCTCCTGTATAGCTGGGATGATAAGCATACGACCGTGTACTCAGCTATTGGTTGAGATATGGTCTCAAACTTTTTGCCTGGACTGGCCTCAAACTGTGATCCTCCTAATCTCAGCCTCCCAAGTAGCTAGGATTACAGGCATGAACTATTGGTGATTGGCTGAGAAAGTATTCTTTAGATCCAGGGATTTGTGGGGGATTGGCAGAGACTCTGGGGAGTTGATTTAGTTAAGAAGTTGGGCTTACTGTTTTATACTGAGGGGGAGGACTAGATAGAGAGCATATCCCTCCTGTAGAATAATCCCCTTCTAAGGAAGGAGAGCCCCCTACTGAGGAACAGTAGACCTCCATATCTACTCTTGTAATCCCCAGCAGCGCTGTCAGAGTTTTCAACACTCACCAGGTGCTTTCTGGGCTTCATTCTTTGCATTAGAAGGGCAAACAATAAGTAAGTGTCCCAGATGAAACATTTGTACCTTGGCAATGAAGGAATGTAGGCAACACTTTCAATTTCCACTTTAGCTGTTAGTTTTCCCTTCTATAGAACAGGAGGATGAATGTGCCATTTGCCCTCTCCTGCTTTTCCATGTCCTCGCTTGCACACGGGCAAGAAAAGAGATATAGATACTTTTCCTGAAAATATCCAGGGCAAACCTCTTGCAATTTCTTTTAATGAGGTGGGGAGGGGATTATGTAGGGGGGAGATGGTGAGGGGGACCATCTAACCAATGTACAATGTAAGACTATCTAGAATTGGCATAATGAATCCCCCTGTACAATGAATGTATAATACTAAAAATGAAAGAAAGGGGGGGAAAGGTGTCCCAAATAATGTATACACATGTAAGTAAATGTAAACATGATAAAATAAAAAAAAAGAAAAAAAAAATCCAGGGCTCTGAACTCATCCCTCCAGCAGCTCCCAAGTGAACTCAGTTCAGACAGCCATCCGTAGCAGAACAGCAGATATTGTCAGCCCCACAAAACCAGCAGGGCAAAGGCTCAGGTTTCCTCAGGAAGAGGGATGATTTATTACTTGGCTAGGTGAATGAATAGACTTAATTCTGGGTAATCTAGTGAAAGAGTCAAACTGACAGATGTGACAGGCCACGTGCACCAACCACCAGATCTGTGGCTGGTGGGTGTGGACCCTCACTCTTCTTAGCTCCCTTGTTGGACTTCTTTTTAGAGCCTGAGCTAAGCTGGTGAGGCAGGGAGATGAGGAGAGACAGAGAGACTTAGGAGGTTTGTCAGGGCTTTAGTGCAGATAGGATGCATTCAGACCCTTCCCACCTCCCACCACCTCCAGACTGAGTTTTAGCTCTGTTTATTTTCTTTTTTCTACCTACTGATGTCTGTGTTTATAAGCAATGTCATAAGCAGCATCATGACAGGTAGAAAAGAAACAATAACGCTGGATAGTTGAATTGTGGGAAATTGTATATTTTGAATCTCTTTCCTGACCTTTTTTTTTTTGCAGTGCTGGGGATCAAACTCAGGGCCTGGGATATGCTAGGCAAGCGCTTTATCATTGAGCTGTATCCCCAACCCTTTCTTGGCATTCCTAATCCTTACTCATCAAACAAGAATAGGAAGAGGTTCAGAGTAATTAGTTGAAAAGTTCTTCACCTTATTTACCTCTCATAGAGTTGGTGGAGACATTTTTTGGTCTAGTTTAGGATCTTCTATCCAAACAATGTCCTAGAATTCCTCTCACACACAGGCTGGTTTTTCTCTTTTGGGGATTCAGGAAAAATGTAGAAAAACGAGCTCTGCTGGAGAACATGGAGGGGCTCTTCTTGGCTGTGGATGAAATCGTAGATGGAGGGTGAGTTCTCTGCCTTGCCTGGATCTGGAGTGGGGAGGCAGGGTGGCTGCCTTTGTCCTAAGTGAAGGAGGCTGAGTGGCCAGAGGTCCTGTCTTCATAGTAAGTTTGTTCTTCAGGAGAGGGTGAACAATGATCTCTTCTTTGTTTTTGTAGAGTGATCCTAGAGAATGATCCCCAGCAAGTGGTACATCGGGTGGCATTAAGGGTAAGTGTGAATATGCTTCCCTGCATCTCCTATCTGACTGTAAACGTTCTCCAGAGACAGACCTAATGAATGTGTCTTAAGGGTTTGGGCTCATAGAATATATACTACTTTCTCTTTTCCTGTCAAATACATTTGACCTTCTGCCCTTTCCATCTCAGTGTCCCAAAGAATGAAGCAGAGGAATTTATTTCTCCCCCTAACATGGTGCTTAGCATCTCATATAGTAAACAAAGTGAACCCTTAGTGTACACATACTGAATGAATGATGAAATTTTTAAAAACTTTAATATTCATAGTTCCAAAACTCTTAAGGAACTTGAGGTTGGCTTATTCCCTCTCTGAGAAATCATCTTAGGCAGAGGAGTGTCTTTTCTGTCTTTTAAAGTCTTATGTAAACCATCAGGAAATACTTACTTGCCAGCACCTCAGTCCTCTTTGGTGCTAGTGATACCAGAAAGGAGCCTTTGCCTTAACTACAGAAGACTCTGAATCTGCTGGGGAGATCATGGTGGGTGCAGAGATGCAGAGACAGGCCACCTGCAAATTGTGGGGTACAGAAATGTCTGAGTAAAGCAGATCTCCTCCATTCACAGAATGTCCCAGCTCTGACCTCCACAGAGTAAAAGCTTACAGTGCTGGGTAATGGGAAATCTTCTCCCTTAACTGCTGTGGGCTCCATTTGCATAGTTTAATCTTCTCCTCTAACATATGTCTCTGTGGCAAGAGAGAGGGTCCCCTTCCCCCATTGACTCCCCCTTTCTCTTCCCAGGCTGCTGTTGCAGCAGTTTATTTCTTCAAATTAACATGCTGTCGTTACCCATCAGGCCTTGCGGGATCCATTAAACTACCCCTAGCTCCCCCTCGTCCTTTCCCCAGTGATATTGATATTCAGGGAAAGTCTTCTCTGACTAGGGAATCAGGTCCCCCACCCCCAAGTTGAGGGAGTTGAAGATCAGATAACCTGCTGATTACTTGGAATGGAATAAATCTTTTAAGAAGTCCTCCTGCCTTAAAATGGAGGATGGATAAAATGACCCTTTTGTGTTCACAGTTCCTCTGGTTGAGCAAAATTGTGGCTCAGTCCCTGGAAGGGACATATGCCCTTCGCTTTGGCTTAAAGGACCACCTCTTTCTTATCCACTACCAGACTCCAATCTAAATGCTTATGTTTCTCTGTCATAGGGTGAAGACGTCCCCCTTACGGAGCAGACTGTGTCTCAGGTATGACTTTCTCCCTTCTTCCTCTCCAGATGAGCAGGGTTACTAAAAAGGCTAGATTAGCAGTTTACCCCAACCCGCCAAGTCTGAGACTACAGAATGAGTTGTCTGTCCTCCTTGGCTCCCCCTTATTTGAAACACCTGGAAGGCTTGGTGTCCTCCGTCCCCACTCCCCTCCTAGTTTCCTGTGAGCAGCGTCTGTCAGCCTTGCCTTGTACCCTTCAGACCCTCCCTGCCTGATGCCTCATTCAGTGATTTATTCCCCAGCAGAGACTTGCCTTAAGCAGATGGTCTCTGTGCTTGTGAGCACACTCTCTTTTCTCTTATTATTCAAATGAGGGCTAAACTGGAAATGCGTATTCTAGAATATGCAGGTTTTGCAAATCCATCCTGGTACTTTGACTGCAAGTAGATTGTCTACCTGATGTGGTGGGGAAAGGAGGGGTGCTAATTTTAACTCACCTGGAATCCTCACCAGGGAGACCATCTGTATGTATAACTCTCTCTCTTTTTTTTTTTTTTTTAACATATGTTCAGTAACTCCCAGTTTTTTTTCTTTCCTCCCAGGTATACCTCTTCTCTCTTCATCCCCCCAGTGGATTTGAATTTTGGGGGAATTTCCCAAACTGACAATCCTCTAGGGTCTTAGAGAGTTTCTTCCTATTCTTCTAAACTCGGGAATTTTCTATTCCCCATTCTTCTAAGGAGAGGGAAGGCAAGTGAGGGGAAGGAAAGTCCCATCCAATTCCCACCCTACCCCTTGCAAGCCTCCCTCAGTGCTGCCCTTATCTCTGCAGGTGCTGCAGTCAGCCAAAGAACAGATCAAGTGGTCCCTCCTTCGGTGAAGACTCCCCGTGGCTGGCTCCTCCTCACCCCCGTCCCCCCAAATCTGCATGTCTGCTATGACTTCTCATCCAGTCCCCAACCAATGCTCTCAGGGTCATCTTGGGGATCATAAGGGATCCTTAAATCTCCATTCTTTCCTGTTCCTTTGCACTCTCTTCTGGGAGTAAAATTCCAGCAGGTTTGGATGCAAGAAGGGGAAGCACCCTTTTCCTTCCCAGACTGTATTATGCTCCATGTTCTCTTATCCTCATATTTTCTCAACTTCTTTGTCTTTGCTGTAGCTACACTTCAGATCAAAGCAGGAGAAAGAATGTGCTGAGTGTTTTCCTCCTTTTGCCTTTACCGGGCCTTCATCCCAGCAGCGCATATGTCCAGCAACATGGGGGAGGATTCTTTCTGTAGCATGACTTGGGGGGGGTATGGTTAGGGATGCATCTAGCATCAACCCCACTTACTGGCCTAAGTGTTTTCTCCTGTTTTTTCTTATTGCCCTGTCCTCTGCCGTGGAAAAGAGATTGGAAACAGTTTATAGGGAGGGGACAGTATGGTGGAAAACAGTGATTTAGATGTTATTGGACAGAACTTATAAAATGCATTCTCAACCCTGATCCTGGTGTACATAATGTAAAACTTGCTGTGGCCTGGGAGTGGTCATTCTAAGACTGTCAATGTTTTGGTCTATACCTTACCTCTACCTTTACTACCTATGAGCTCTTTGTCTGGTTTGTTCTTTGTGTTCCCCGGAGCAAAGCCAATCCCTGAAACTAAAACTATATTCTAGTCTTCAGAAGAACAGTTTCTGCTCAGCGCTGGGGAAGGAATGGCCTGAGGCTCTCGCCCCCTCAACTCTCCCACATGCACTTGCTTCTCAGCCTGGGGACTGCTTAACCCTGTCCTGTCTGCCTCAGCAGAGGGCTGGGCTCCCTCCTACTTAGGTGTCTGAGAATGGTGCCCTTTCTTTGGGATTGGGATTTCTCCAGGAAGATAGGGGATGCAGCACTTACTCTTGGACCTGTTCTGTGCCCTTCACCCAAAACTCCCTCCCTACAAAAATGTCTTAGAAAAACCTTCCTGAGATTTAAGTATTCTGCTCCAACCATAACTGCCAGTTCTCCAACACTGAAGTGGAGCACATAGCTGGGCATATTTGAGGGGCATCTTTGTGCAAGAAATGTACAGAGTTACGAGATGGCCACCTTCCTATACCCCTCTGTGCAAAGACGAATAAAATATTTCTTTTTCCAAACTGCCTTTGTGTGATGTTTCTGTTCCTCTTCCTCTCTTTTTGGCAGCTACTCCTATTCCTCCAGCTCCCCCCCCCCAACTTTCCATCTTATATTTCTTCCCTCCTACCTCAGAGACTCCCCAGCAATCCCTCCCCAATCCCTAATTTACGGGGCTGTTTGCCTCCTTGGCATCTCTCCGTCCCCTCGCCTGGAAATTGGCGCCAGGGGTGGGGTGGGGATGGTATTTTCTCAGTGGGAGTCTCAGGGAACAGAGTTCCCCCCCACCACCACCCCCAAAGCCAGCTGCCTGCTCCCGCCTCAGCCATTAGTAACCCGGAGACGCGCACCTGCGTGGGGGCTCTCCTCCAGCCCCTGCTCCCTTCCTGCACCTCCCACTCCTGCTCTGAAACGGCGCTGAGCGGGTTATTTATCGGAGCCAGCACTGCTCCAGAAGGTCAGGACGGTGGTGTAAATAACCTCTTCTCGCCATTTCCCCATCCCTCCAGAGCCTGCTCCCCTCCCCCTCCTCCACCTTTATTCGCACAAATGAATGTGGCTGGGCTGGCGCAGAGCCTGGCCCTGCATCTTAATGGGGCGGTGAGCTCACAAGATGGATTTAGCTGGGGGTTTTATGGTTGCCGCGGCGACAGGAGAATGCTTTGGTTTTTCTTTCCCCCTTCCTCTGCAGGATTTTAAGGAGGGGGGAGTGTGGGGAGTCCTCCTCTCCACTGTAATTTGAAGGGTCTCCTTAGTCACCTCTACTGCTCCTGAAATAGGTCTGCAATTCCAGGATAATGCACAAGAGATGGAATTAGTGGTTCAAATAGGAAAGAATGAGGGAAGAAGGTGCAGGAATGGGAAAGCCTCTTCAGCAGCGGTACACAAAGCCTAGAGTTGCCCAATCTTGCCTGTTCCTTTATGGGAACGTGGTTAAGCTCAGCTAGTGTGGGACACCTGGGCCTGAGATCCCTCTCAGCAAATAGAAAAGATTTTCGACGGAGCCACCCTTGTTTGCAGGCCTGCATTGAAAGCAGGTGTACAGGGGTGGGAGAAGAGCTAGGATCCCTTCTGTTTTTGCTTTTCTGAGCTACAGAAAAGCAGGGCCGGCCTTAAGGTCCTAACCTGCTTCTTATTGCCTAGGATGGCCTTGGGAAGATGGTGTCTGTGCTGAAATCAAGGGCTTGTGTTCAATGATGGTGTGGAGTGGGGAATTGTACCCAGTTCTCAAACCTGAAATTCTCTGAGCTCCAGTTTCTTCTACCTCTGTTTCCCGCTAGGACTGGGACTTTGGTCCCCTGGTCTGCCTAGTCCTCTGGTTAGCAGTTTTCTTTCAGGACTATGAATAAACTCAGCACTGACCGAAGCAGAGACAGAGAGCAGTTTGATGATATCCCTCACTGGTCTTTTTCTGTCTGGTTGTGGGCTTGTCTTTCTGTTTGTGAGCCTTTCCTTCTCCCCAAGGGAACCCTAGGAGAGGCCCCTCCTCTCTTCTCTCCCTTCATCCACTTTGGCTGGGAAAGTGACTACAGCCTGAACAGTGCCAGACACCTGCCTGCCAGATGTGGCGATTCCCCATTCTCCCCCCACCCCCCAAATGTCTCTCCTTTCCTCACCCCACTGAGCTGAGGCAGAGGGAGTCTCCCCACAGGGTGATTTACTGCAGCAGCTTCTCTCCTCACGTGTCCCCCTCAGGCTTCTCTTTTTCCCTCCCCCTGGTGCCCCTGCCCCTCTTTTCCCACCATGTCCTGCAGTAGCCTTCCCAGTACAGCCTCCTCCCACTCCCACTGCAGGGTACTGGCCTCCTCAAGCTCCAGCTCCCTCCAGGACTAGAGGAGGAATGGGTAGGGCCGGGGTGATTGGCCTCTGCTGCACTCCTGGGAGAGTACATCAGCAGTGGTTCTGAGGACAGTGGCAACTAGAGCTGATGTCATTCTCATCAGGGGAAGTGGGAGGTGGAAGTAGAGGAGGCTAATGGGGTGGGAACTAGCACTCCAAGACTCTGCAGAGGAGAAAGAGGCCTCTGAAAAGTTCCTAGGTAGACGAGAGTCCAGGATTGTGGCAGGATGGTGAACATCGCAGTTTTGTTTCTCTGGCTAGGTCTCCAGACCTTGTCTCTGGATCTGTGTTTCATGTGTCCTGGTAGATGCCCCTTGACTCTCCCTTCAGACTGATTCAAAACATGTAGAGGGAACTTTAAATCCTTGCTCTTCTCTCTTCAGTGTTTGCTCTTCTGTGTTTTTTCTGCCTCTCCCTTTTCACCTCGTTTTTTTTTTTTTTTTTTTTTTTTGCTCACTAAGCAGGCACTCTACCACTTAAGCCACTCTGCCAATCCTCACCTCTTCTTCCTTAGTTGTGCTTCTCTCTCTGGTCACCTCCTTCTGGCCTCCTTCTCCTCTGTTGCCATATCAAAGCAGAGCCCACTGTGATTCTTAGACCTCCACCAAAGCAGGGACTCAGGAAGAGTCTTTTTCTCCTTCCCACTTTTCCTTCTTCCTTGCAACCTGACTCCCTAAAGCCTCCCCTAGGCCAGAACAGGTTTGTGGCAGGACTGAGTTGGAGGGATGGCTGGACTAGAGTGGCAGAGGCAAGACAGGTGGAGAGTATAAGGAAGTAGGGGAGGAGAAGGGCACAAGAAGAAGGAAAAAGAAACAATGAGTGAGAAAAAGTGTTCAAGAGGCAGAGACTGAGAGCAGAAAACAAGAATAACAAACTGGGAGAGGACACCAACACAAAGAAAGGGAGCAAGGGTGGGAGCAGAGAAAAAGAATGGAGCGATGAAGACAGGAAAGTCAGAAAGTCACAGCAAGAGAAGACTGCTGGAGAGGCGCCAGGCTAGGGGCAGGCTGGCTCTCCCTAGTCTCCCTCATTCTGACAGGCCATAAATCTGTGTGTGTGTTTATGCACATGTGCACACAACACACACATATGTAGGGATCTGAGGTAGAGATAGGATGATTTCCATAATATTATTCTTCCATTTCTTTTAGCAGTCTTATTTCCTTGAGGCACTCCATTGCAATCCCCGTGTCCAGTATTCCCGATGCTCCAGGGACCAACTCCAAAGGTTCTTCTATCTTCTCAGGGATCCTGGCTTTCTCACTTGGAACTCAGGCCTGCCAGAATGTCCAGGATCCATCCAATAATCAAGAGGCCCCCATCCCCTCACTGCCCATCCTTATGCCTGCCCACCAGCTGCTCCTGTCCGTCTTCTCCTCCCACTGTGCTTGCATATCCCCCTCCTCCACTCTGAACCCTCCCCCAGTCTCTGACCCCCAGCCCGCCTGGGGTCTGGGTCAGAGGGGAGACAAAGAGAGGATTTATCACCAGTATAGAGAAGCAGCCAGAGACCAGGGCTGAGGGCAATGGCTGACCTCCTTTTGGTGGGAGGGAACACTGGGCCGGATGTGGGAGGCTAGAAAGCTGGGTTGTATTGGCTGCTGCTCACAACCCCCAACTTTTCCTGCTTCAGCCTTGTTCTCTCTCTTGTCTCTGAAGAATTCAAAAATGGAGAAGATGACTGCAGTGATTTTTGGCCTCTGTAGGAAAATTTGAGGAGATCGATAACTTAGGGTCATTCTCTTATGGATACCAAGGAGGATTTGCAATTCAGAGGCAACTGAGCACCAGTTGTTTCCAGGACTAGGAAGGAATTCAGGTACAACACTGTAACAGAGAAGATACAGAGGTCTGCCCTCTGACATACAGAGGGTCTTCACAAGCAAACCTGGATCACCATTAGGGAGGGGGAAAAAAAAAAAAAAGGTCCTGAAAGATGGGAGGCACAGTCCCAACCTGAGAATGAAGAAAGAAATTGAATTGGCCAACAGTTACTAGGCCTTCCTCCCTGAGATGCCCAGCTCTCTCCTGAGAGGTAGAAGGAGAAGCTGAACCCTGTTTCAGTAAATACATCGTTGGCCTGAAACTGTTTCTGCTCAGCAGACAGTGTATGTGCAAGGAGAGGGAACAGTACTATCCAGGAGTTTCCGAGAAACCAGACTATAGATCTTCAGTGGACAGATCCTGCAGTTTCCCTAGCTGCCCTTTAGGGGCCCAGTACCACTATCCCCAGATCTCACTGTGTCAAAGTCCCAGTCCCTGGGAGAAGTATGTGAAGAGTTACCTCTAAACGCAGGTGGAAGGAAGAGAAACTGAGACAACTAGGAGCGAGCTTCCATCCTAACAATTTCTCACCATAATCCCACTAACTTATTTCTATTTAGGGTCTGGTAAGGGACCAGACCTGATGGTCTCCTCTCAAAATCCTCTGCAAGTTGAAAACATCCTCTCAATTCCTGGTGAAAAGCCAAAAGTTAGAAGTTTTAGTGGGAAGGGGTCATGGATTGGGAGAAAACAAAGGAATTGGGGATGAGGGTATGGGTGGGTAAGGAAGAAACAGGAAAAGGGAGAAGAGAGCTTCTCTTTTTTTCCTTACTCCCCCTTCCCCCAATTGAGGAGGCAGATTTACAGCCTTGGTTTGGGGAGGGGGTAGCATAAGGAAGACAGATCTGCAGTTCTGCCCTCTGAGTGTCTGGGTACTTAGCTTTAACTCCCCCATTAGCATCAATCCCCATCTTGCTACCCATCCGTCTTCTGACATCAGCTCCTTCCCCCTCTCTGTTGCCCAGGCTTTCTGACCCTAAATGGCTCTTAAAGGGCCAGTCTAGACCCTTTTCTTCTTCCCTCCTCCCACTACAGGCAGCAGTCTGGTGTGTGTGCTGTGCACATGTGTACTGTGACCATCCTTGCTAATGTCAGAGTAGATGGAGGGCATGGTGGGGGCCGGGAGACTTCCCCCAGCTCTGCCCCTTACACCTCTCTTATATCATGGCCCCTATCGTTTTGTTTTGTTTTGAGACAGGACCTTGCTATGCAGCCCAGGCTGGCCCCAAACTAGCAATCCTCCTGCCTCAGCCTCCTGACTGCTGGGATTACAGGTTTATGCCACCATGCCCACCTTGGTCTCCCATCTTTGTTCACTACCTATTCAGGTCCAGAGCCAGTCCTCTGGATGGGCTAGGGGTCACAGTCACATGGCTCTTGGAGCTGAGGGCTGGAGAATGCCCGTGGGTTCTCTTCCCTCTCTCATTTCCTGGAGGCTTAGGACAAGGAGTGTCAAGAAGTACTGACTGTTTTTAATTCTCAGCTAGCGGTGGGGAGAGACAGGTTGGTGCCTGAGGCTCCTAGGAGATGCCCTATATCCCAGATTCCTAAGCCTCTTTTCCCCAGGATTTAGGCTGTGGTCTAAATCCCTGTGGGGGGCTGGAAGATTTCTAATCTTCCTTTCCCTCTGAGGGAGGTGACAGGTCAGAGAAAGCTGCCTCTGAATTTCCTGGCTCCTCTTTTTCTATTCCTCAGCAACTGAGCTTAGGTGGGCAGAAGAGAATCTCCCCAGCTTCTACAGAAATGCTGTTAACAGCACTCCAGGGGCTCTAAGAATGCCAGGATACTTGGAAAGTCCCTCCCCTGTCTGCCTTCAATCCTTTCTGCTGCAAAGCTCTGCCGGCCTCAGAGGGGTTCTCCAGGATCCTCAAAGTCCCTTCCCTATATCTGAAACCCATTCTCCGGGTCCCTGAGTGCTTTTCTCTGGCTCTGGATGAGAGGGAATGGGTAGGCGGGGGCCTGGAGAGAGTGACCATGTTAAAAATTGGAGCCCTAAGCTGCACCCCCAATAGCCCCTTATTTATCACCTTCCGAACCTCACTCTCAAAGAAGCATAAATATTCCTAATTCCTTAAGGCCAGTGCTGAACTCATAAATCCAACTTGGGGAGGTAAGCAAGTGAGAAGGAATGAGGGTGTGGAGTGTGGAGCCCACTCACTGCAGCCTGTTGGAGGCAGAACACCTCCGGTGTGTGGCGGGGGAGGGGGGTGCGGTGCACTCCGCTTGTCCCCATGCAGAGGCGAGTAGGAGCCTCTCTCTCCTTATTTCCTCTGGGGATCAGCCTTTCCTCATTGCAACCCCCAAAATACAAAACGAAATGGAAAGACCTTTCTCACTGGTTCTCTATCCTCTTTTCCTCGCAATTACCTTCCAGTTGTCCTCCCTCTTGGCCCTGTGCTCCTCTAAGCCTGTCCCTTTCTTTCGCAGATATTGTGTGAACAGGGACGTGGGGTCTGGAAAGAAAAGTCCCCCAGGAGCTCCCTGCTGCGCCCATCGCTCCCTGCCCGCGCCCTTTCCCTCCAACCCCTGCTCTCCTCCGCCCTCTTTCCTTGCTTCCTTTCGTTCTGGCCCCTCATTTTCCCCCTCGCTCCTCAGGTCACATCCTCTCTCCCTCCTGGGTCTCCTCTTCCCACCCTATCCCACCCCACGCCTCAGACCCCAGCCTCGGTTTCCGTTCCCACCACCGGGCCCACTTCCCCCTCCCGGCGGATGGCGGACAAGGGAGGAGGGGGCTCAAGGAACAGGTAGAGGGAGCGCGGCTCCTCCAGGGACACGAGGAGGAGAAGGAGAAGGAGGGGGAGGGCGGCGATGCGAGGGGAGGGGCAGCCTCACTCCCAGCTGCGCCCCCTCCCCACAGCCACAAAGCCATAAATCAGGGCCGAGGCGGTTTGGCCAATGGTAGAGTGACTCGTAAATCGGCCTGTCAAGCTCAGCCAATGAGAGACGGCGTTAAATCAAGTGCTGTCAGCGCTTGGCCAATGAAAGGCCCTGGGCTGACCATAAATCTGCCTGTAAGAGACAGCCGAAGTGAGAGAGTGTGTGAGCGAGCAAGAGCAGCGCGGGCGGGGGACGGGAGGGAGGGGGCGAGGCGCAGCTAGGCGGGGGCGGGAAGGGGAGGGGAGGGAAGGGAGAGCGCGCTCGGGGGGAAAAAAGCGATAGCGGAGGAGCTGGGGACGAAGACAGCCTGCGGGAGAGACGGACAGATGGAGAGAGACAAAGAGAGGCAGGAGAGATAGCGTCAGACAGCCCGCGATGGAGATAGGGACTGGGAGAGACGCACCGTGACTCACACCGAGCATACAGGCCCCAAAGGCACACTCCTCCCCCAGACACGCGTGGGCCGCGCGCCGTGGGGCCTGGTGCACGAACGCGCCATGCACTCCTGCAAGAGAGAGAGAGAGCCTTGCTTTGCTTTTTCTCTCTTCTCACTCAGTCCTTACTGAAATTAGTCCTTACTGAAATTAGGGGTGGAGGTGGAGGTGGAGGTGTAAGGGCCCTGGAGGATGAGAAAGGAGAAAGTTGTTTAATATCTATCCTCTGGTCTCGGAATCCAGGACTTCCTCCTGTGTCCCAAATCACTTTTTTTTTTTTTAATCTAAAAACGTCATTTTTTTCCCCCAGCAACTGGTAATTGGGAAGTCCTTCCTGAGGTCTAACCTCAATCCCATTGCTGCTCATTTCTACTTTGAGAAGCTTTTGAATTGCCTCCACGGAATATGAAAAGTGAACCCATTTACAAGCTTCAGAGAGTTGTCAGCTTTCAGAATCTTAGAAGGTCTTAGTAGGAAGAGCTTCACGGATCCTCTGGTCACTTGATCCCAATTTTAGCAAGACAGCTGTTCTATAGTAGTTAGCCATGTGTGCTGGTCACTGAGGTTAGACTTTGCCCTCAGATCAGGTTTACTAGCCTTTGGCCTTGGACAAATTAACCTATGTGTTTCAGTTTTCTCATTTGTAAGAAAGAGATTATAATACATGGGAAGAGTGCATCTTATCATCCCCCTCACCTCCACTCCTTGTACCCATTATGAAACCTGAGGCCCAGTGGTTCAGAGAGCTGCTCAAGTTCACAGAGATATTTCTCAGAGACCTTTGACTGGCACCCTCTTTCCTGCCCTCCCAGGCCAATGTTCTGATGTTCTTTGTTGATCCTCACATTCACTTGAGTGGACCCCTGCCTCAGTAGCCTCACCTTGACTCGGTTCATGGCTTCTGTGGCATGAGGACACCTAGAAAAAATGTTCTAGATTAGGAGGCCCTGAAAGCATGTTGCATGTGAGGATATCGATCATCTGCCCACTCCAACTGTGCTTCTTTTCTTGTTTGAATCTCTCCAGACCTTGATGTTCTCTCAAAGCATGGTTTGGTTCGGAGTAGGGAAGGGACAACAGGCAGCCAGAGTATACACGTCAGCATGGCTCTCACATTCCATCCCCAATGCCACTGCACCCTGTCCCACCAGAGACAATGACTATCTTATGAAAAATGGAGGTCTTGTTCTTCATTCTCCTTCCTGAGCTTCTGGGGAGAGGGAGGGTACAGATCCCTGGCTCTCCACCCCTTGCTCAGACCAATGGACTTGCATTACTCCTGGCACTTTCTCTGCTCAATGGAGAAACCAAAAAGGAAACACAGAGAACCAGCGTCACCTGGTGGCCACAAGTGCTTTTTGACTGCACGCTCACGTGCCCAGGGTGACAGTCTGTTTGTCATGCAGGAGGGAGGGGATGGTGCGGTCTCCCACTAGCCTGGCCCCTGAGCTCTCTTAACTGTCTTCTCTGCCCTGCTTTCCTAACAGGATAACAAGAGCTGGGGGGCGGTGAGGCAGTCAGTGCCTGGGGCAGCTTTGCCTCAACTAGACTCAGCTCCATCTCCCCAGAATAAGGAGTACTCCTCCAGTCCCTGTGCACCTGACAAGGGCCGGGCACTGGGTTCATAGGAGTCAGACCAATGGACTTGCATTACTCCTGGCACTGTTCTCTGCTCAAGAGAAACCAAAAAGGAAACACAGAGAACCAGCGTCACCTGGTGCCACAATCTTTTTGACTGCACGCTCACGGCCAGGTGACAGTCGTTTGTCATGCAGGAGGGAGGGGATGGTTGCGGTCTCCCACTAGCCTGGCCCCTGAGCTCTCTTAACTGTCTTCTCTGCCCTGCTTTCCTAACAGGATAACAAGAGCTGGGGGGCGGTGAGGCAGTCAGTGCCTGGGGGCAGCTGAATTAGCCCCAAAGAGCAAGACTGCCAGGGCAGCTGATGATCTTGTCTGCCTTTGCCTCAACTAGACTCAGCTCCATCTCCCCAGAATAAGGAGTACTCCTCCAGTCCCTGTGCACCTGACAAGGGCCGGGCACTGGGTTCATAGGAGTGGAGGTCAAAGCTGGATCACCACCATTTTTGAGCTGAATAAACCTGTTTGCAGGGATGTGTGTGTGTGTGTGTGTGTGTGTGTGTGTGTGTGTGTGTGTGTTGTGTGTGTTATGGCAGCAGTAGTTAGGGGCTGGGGCCATTTCTGGGAAATCAAGCAAAGAGGCAGGTGAATCCTCTCAAACCACCTTACACCTCTCTCTCTCTCTTTCTCTCTTTCTTTTTATTTTTCTTTATCTTTTTTGGGTGGTACTGGGGTTTGAGCGTAGGATCTTGTGCTTGCTAGGCTGGTGTGGTTTTTTTGCCCTGGCTGGTCTGGACTTTGATGCTCCTTCTTATGTCTCCTGAATAGCTGGAGTGACAGGTGTGAGCCACCGTGCCCAACCACCTCACCTGTTTTATAATCTGAAAACCTCAGGTGAAGACTATGTTCCTGCTCAGCTGTTCTCTACCCCTGTTCTGACGTAGGTCCTTCCAAATGCTCAATGATTCGGTTCCAACTCCATCCCTGGCCTACTTCCTTCTTTCCCACAGACCACACCTGAGAATTAAAAACATGTAATTTGTTTAATTTTAATTTTTTTTTTTGAGCAGAGTTTCACCATGTAGCTGGCCTCAAACTCACAATCTTGTCTCAGTCTCTCAAGTGCTGAGATTACAGGCATGGTCCAACATGCAGGGTGTAATTTGTTTATTAATAATTAATAATGCTCCTTGGGCAGCCGAGGGCTGAGATACTGACCAAGGAATGTGGAAGCTTGGCTTGAGGGACAGAAGGGTTGTCTGTGAAAATGACCACAGGTCTTACTTTCACCTGTTCTCCTGTCAGCTGGCCACTTTGGCTCTGGGGGACACAGTCCCGGATGCTGGTGATGGAGCTTGGAGTTCTAACGGAGCCTACGGAAGCTCCAGGGCCCTCGTTTTAAGAGGGAGCTGTATGCTTGGCGAAACTGGCGGTTCATCGCTGCATAGAGCACTGGGTTGATGCAGCTGTTGAGCCAGGTGAGGTTGGCGGCAATCATGTGGGCCACCCGGGGGGCCCGAACCATGGCATCCAGGATGTTGAGCAGCAAGAAGGGAATGTAGCTCAGGACAAAGCAGAGGAACACAGCAAAACATATCTGTGTTACCTTCCTAAACTCTGACGGAGAGTCCTGAGCTTTTTGGGCTCCTGTAGTTGGCTGGGCTTTGGCAGGTGTTCCTGAAAGTCTTTTCTCTACCATCTGCTTGGCTATCTTGCTGTTGCCCTGTTCCCTCCCTTCCGATAAATCCCCTTCCAGGGTCTGTGTGGTGGCAACACTAACTGGCTCAGATGAAATCCCGTCACTGGGTCCTCTTGACGTTATCCCACTGTCCACCTCCTGGAAACAACCAGGTATGGCCTCATCTGTCCCAGCCACATGGCTAGAGCGAATGCTTGCCCACCTCAGCCGGTACTGGTCCAGTGTTTTTGCTGCTCGCTTCACTTGGTGATGGATGAGGCAATAGAAAATGCCAACACTGCTGAGCCCAAGTACAAAGTAGATGCCCATGAGGATGGTGCTGTAAGGCCGACTTTTCTTACGGTCAAAGCTGCAGGTGCAGACTACAGGTACCAAGACATAAAAAGGCCAGAGAGGGGCAAAGCTGGCCACACCCACAACCCAGGTGCCCACCAGCACCAGCACTATCCCCTTGGCACTGAAAATTCGGGGAAAGAGCTTAGGTTGAGCAATGAGGAGGTAGCGTCCCAGTGCAATGAGACAGAGGGTGAGGATGGACACCGAGTTGGAAGTAAACAGAAGAAGTCCAAATATCTTGCAGATGGTGGCACCAGTGCGCCAGTGCAGGTGGAGGTAGGTGTCCACGGAGAAAGGCTGGAGAAGGGTGCAGTAGAGCAGATCGGCCAAGGTGAGGTTGGTGATGAATAGGTTGAAGCGGGTCCGGAGCTTGGGCTGGATGGCCAAGGCCAGCAGGGTGAACACGTTGCCCACAGTGCCAGTCACAGACACCACTACCCCCCAGCTGACTGCAACATAGCGATAGTTCAGCACAGACTCGTGGTAGCAGGAGAAGTTGGCATCTGAGGTATTCCACATGGTGGAGGCTGAAGAGACAGGGAGTGGAAGAGGAAGAAGAACTAAGAATCTAGACTTCAACTTAAGTTTCTTTTTCTTTTTTTCTTTTTGGAGTACTGGGGTTTGAACTCAGGGCCTTTTGCTTGCTAGGCAGGAACGCTACCACATGAGCCACTCCAGGCATGAGCCACTGGCGCCCGGCTTGGAGCTCACTTTGATTCACCATCTTCCCAAGCCACTCCCATACCACTTCATCTCAAGATCCCTAATTCTCTCCTCAGGCTGTCTTGGTCCTTCCTGATTCTCAAAGATTTTTCAAAATTCTTAGCAAAACATCTCTTTTCTAAATATGTCACAGGTCTCTGTCTGCCCCAAACCCTAGGCCTCTTTACTATCCATCCAGCTACTCCCAGTAAACCCAGTATCTCCAAACCTTTCTAATTCCTTCCCCGTTCCAAAAGACCACACACACAGGAGTCCCTTCTTCATGTTCAGGATGTTGTTACAGTGTCCTTTGCTGAGACATACATACAGGTCTCAGTTTTTCTGTTTGTTACCACCTGGGAGATGGGGGGCAGGGGGGAGGATGGGGGCAAGAAAGCAAAAGGAAATACTCACTTGAGTCTCCCAGTCTTCAATTCTTTCTTCAATGGAAGAAAGGAGCAGTCCTTACTTGTGGGCATCCAGGCTTCAGGCAGGAAATATGCTGCTTCCTTTTATGTTAGACTAAAAGAATAAGAAACTCCCCAGTTACCCAACCTCAACCACTTCCTTCCCCACCTCCAGTTGGTCTTATGTATTTTGCCTTGGCTACTGAGATCAGGGCTTCTATGTTGAAATTTCTCTGCTTCTTCAGAGTTTTTCCACTCTTTCCTTTCTCCTTTTTGAAACCCAAGCTGTTTCCTTCCCTTCTTTGTATGCCGGGACATGATATGATCATTGCTGAAGGATTGGTGGACTGGCTCAAGCTGTAGAGCACCTGCCTAGCAAGCACAAAGCCCTGAGTTCAAACTCTAGTACAGAAAACAAACAAACAAACAAACCCCTGAAAGATCATTGTCAAAAATAGTTGGGACATGTAGATAGCATCAGATCAGCTGGGCCACTTCTCAAGGGGCAAAAAGATAAGACCAGTTTCCAGAAGCAATTACTCTAGGCAACCCAGAAGCCATGGACTTGTTTTTTTTTTTTTCTGGACGAAGAGGGAGGAAGAAATGCTGCCTTTCTTTTCTCCAGGGTTGGGAGATGATTCAAGTCAGACTCCCCAGGTAATATCCTAGTACATCTGGGAAATGGAGTTGCATAAAAAATGTGGGAAACAAGGTATCCAGAATTCTGGCTTCATTTCCCACAGAGACTCAGGCTCCCATTAATCATTCATTCATTCATTCCACAAACCTTTATTAGGTGCCTACTGTGCACCAGACTCTGAGCTAGACACTGGGGATTTTAGGCCTGATGCAAGGCAAGGGAGACAGGTAAATATATAAATGCTTAAATGGTTCTTTAAAGACAGGGTTGCCAAACTTTGGCTTTTGGACCAAATCTGGCTTGCAATTTGTGTGTGTGTTTGAGATGGGTCTTGCTATGTTGCCCATGCTAGTCTTGAACTCTTGAACTCAGGCGATTCTCATCCCTCAGCCTCCTGCCCATCTACTGCCAGGACCATGGGCATGTGCCATCGCACCTGGCTGTTTTTTTTTTTTTTTAATTCATTTAAAACTGATCATATTTAGGGCTAAGTGATAGTGCATTTGCCTAGCATCTGTGAGGCTATTAATTAGTTATTAATTAAATAACTAACTGAATAAATAAAAAATTGCTTTTTAAGTGGTTATTTAATAGCTATGTAATATCCTCAATTTTGCCCCTTCATCAGCATAGTTAAAATATTTATTATCAGGCTCTCAGAAAAGTTTTCTGAGGGAGACTTGCTCTAAAGTGTATTTAGAGGGGCTTGCAGAGTGGCTCAAGTGGCAGAATGTGAGGCTCTGAGTTCAAATCCCAGTGCTGCCAAAAAAAAAGTAAATAAATAAAATAACAACAACAACAAAAATGCATCTGGGTGCTGGTGGCTCACGCCTGTAATCCTAGCTACTTAGAGGGCAGAGATAAGGAAGATTGAGGTCCAAGTCAGTCTGGGGAAATAGTTTGTGAGACCCTCTCTCGGAAAAACCCTTCACAACAAAGGGCTGGTGGGGTGGCTCAAGGTGAAGGCCCTGTGCTCATATCTTAGTACAGCAAAAAAAAAAAAAAAAAAAAAAAGCATATCAGAGGCTTAGAGAAAAGGAGAAAACTACGAAGGAGGAGATCAGGAAAGGAAAGAGCACACAGAAATACCTGAGTTGAGAGTTTTGAGTGTTTCAGTGAACAGGAGTGTTTTTGGAAGACAGCTGGAAGGATATTCTAGACAAAAGGAACAGCATGCACAGAACACACAGGGTTAGGTAGAAGTATTGTATTGGAGAGGTGTTTTTTTTGTTTTTTTCCTTTGCAGTGTTGGGATCAAACCTTGGTCTTTGTTAATGAGAGACAAGCACTTTAGTACTGAGCTATATTCTCAGCCCCTTTGGGGAGATTTGCACTCAAATAGCTGTACAAAGTGAAGGCATGCAGGCCTCAAGTAAGACTGACCAGTAAAGAGGCACCAGTTTAGAGCTGGTGTGGACGCACAAACCTGTAATCCCAGCACTCCAGAGACTGAGGCAGGAGGATCAAGAGTTTAAGCCAGCCTGGGCTACATAATGAGACCCTGTTTCAACATAAAAAAATAAAACAAAAATGAAAACAAAAAGGCACCAGTTTAGACAAAAGATAGAGAAGGCTTGCATTAGGTCCAGGCCACCTGTATAATTGCACAAACCCACACTTAGAAGGGTCTGGTGCTTGCTTTTCAGTCACTGTCTTGAAATTCTTAATACTTTAGGAGCAAGGGGTCTGCCTTTTTATTTTTGTACTGGGATTTGAATTCAGGGCTTCACACTTACTAGGCAGGTACTCTAGTGCTTGAACCACACTTCCATCTCTTTTTGCTCTAGTTATTTTGGAGATAGGGTTTTGTTCTGGGCTCAGGCCTGCGTGGACCTCCATTCTTTTGTTAATGCTTCCTGCCATGGCTGGGATGACAGGCACATGCCATCATGCCCAGCTGTTCCCATTGAGATGGGGTCTCGCAAATTTTTTCCCACCCAGGCTGGCCTGGAACCTCCATCCTCCTGATCTGAACTTCCTGTACAGCTTGGGATGACAGGTATGAGCCACTGGCGCCAGTCTGAGGGCTTGGCCTTTTATTTTGCAATGAGTCCAAAAATTATGTACCCAGTCCTGATTAGGGTGGTGGTGGAGACGTGCAGAATCATGACCAAGCTCCTATGTCATTAAGAGATCCAATAGGGCCCACTGTGGTGGTGCAGGCTTGTAATTCCAGCTACTCTGGAGAGAGAAGCAGGAGGATCCAGGTTTGAGGTCAGTCCCAACAAAAAAGTAGGGAGTTCCTGTCTCCAAAACAATATAAAAACAAAAGGGCTTGGGAGGGGGGAGGTTGGCTCTAATGGCAGAATGCTTGCTTAGCATGCTAGAGGCATTAGTATCACACAAAAAGTTAGGGGACGGAAAGATCAGATAGGACATATTTATTACTTACTTATTTTTGTGGTACTGGGGCTTAAACTCAGGGCCTTCACCTTGAGCCACTCCTCCAGCCCTATTTTTGTGAAGGGTTTCTTGAGATAGGATCTTGAGAAACTATTTGCCTGGGCTGGCTTCAAACCAAGATCCTCTTGCTCTCTGCCTCCTGAGCAGCTAGGATTACAGGCATGAGGCACGGGTGCCTGGCCAGATTGGACATATTTAATAAATGATTCATTGGATGAAGGGTTAGGAAGAGGGTGCAAAAGGGGAAAAGGAAGACTCCTGTTTTCCAGCAGATGTATGGATGAGATAGGGAGAGCTGAAGGTAGCTCAGGGTAAAATGCATGGTTAACATGTAGGACCCCAGCACTTCCCAAAGAGATAGGGAAGGTCAGAAGAGGAACAAGCTTAGGGAAACAAGTAAATAGTTCAATTTTTTTTTCAGTACTAAAGTTTGAACTCAGGGCCTACATGTGAGCCACTCCACCAGCTCTTTTTTGTGATGGATTTTTTGAGATAGGGTCTCTTGAACTATTTGCCTGGGCTTGCTTCAAAGCACGATCCTCCTGAACTCTTCCTCCTGAGTAGCTAGGATTACAAGTGCCTGGCTGGCTGTTTTTGTTTTTTTTGAGACAGAGTCTCACTATGTAGCCCAGGGTGTTGAACTCATGATCCTTCTGCCTCAGCCTCCTGAGTTCTGGGATTACAGATGCACACCACCATACCTGGCTCTGAATTCAGTTTTAAACCAGCAGGTTTGAGGTGTCTTGAGAGGTGCTAGTTTCCCAGCATCTTCAATCACAGTTTCTTCTGGCCTCCCTTTCACCCTCCCCACACATGACCCAGCCATATTCCCCACCCACTCTTCTTTGTCTTCTTCTTCTGTGAAGTGGAGTTTGAACTCAGGGTGCTTGCAAAGCAGGCGCTCTACTGCTTGAGCTATGCCTCTAGTCCATTTTGCTCTGGTTATTTTGGAGATAGGGGTCTTGAGAACTGTTTGCCTAGGCTAGTCTTGAACCTTGATCCTCTCGATCTCAGCCTTCCAAGTAGTTAGGATTACAGGTGTGAGCAACTGATGCCTGGCTTCTACCTGCTCTTCTATAGGAGCCACACTTGCCCCTTATCCTTGTGGGTCTCCAGTCTCTACCTTTTTTTGAGCTAGGCTGACCTGAAACAAAACAAAAATCTCCTTGTTTTGTTCCAGTTCTGAACCCACAGTGAACCCCCACCCCCAACTTCATTATTGACAAACCAAGAGGCTCCTAATCCCCTCTCTCTTCTCTCTCTCTTTTGTAGTACAAGTGATAGTCATGTTTATTAGGAATAGAATATACTTTCAATAGACTGAAAGGGGGTCATCTCTAGAGTGAGAACAAGAATGACCTTTCCCAGGGGGGAGAAATGACCCAAGCCTTGTATGCACATATGAATAAAAAAAAAAAAAAAAAAAGAATGACCTTTCCTTCCTCTTTCAGAGTCATCATTCCACCTTCCCTCCTCCTGTCTTGTGCAAGACTGGGAAGTAGGCAGAAGGTAGAAGTAAGAAGGTACAACATACATAGACAAGTTTTAGTCCTAGCTTTTTGGCTTGACTTTCCTGTCACCTAGTAAGTCTGGACAGAGGGGTCACGGGTTACTGGCTGTTCTTGGCAGTACACGGCTAAACTGAATTCTGGGGTTAAGGAGACCCTTTCCCTATGTGTGAGGTGCAAAGTAGCTGAGTGCTCCCTTGTCCCAGGTCTTTTAGAGGGCCAGATGAGAGGGTATTGTATTATATCTGCAAATGAAAGTCTCAGTGTGTTAGTCTTAGGTACATGAGGTTTAAATGAGCTTTTAAGACCCAAGCCTGTTCATTTTTGCAGATAAGAAAACTGAGGTCCAGAGAGGGCAAGGCCTGACCCAAAGTCACTATTCCTATCAGGCCAAGCAGAAGCTAGAATTCAAATACTATTTGTCCCCACTTCTTCCTTCGCCTTGTGTCTTGCTGATGTGTGTTCCCACCAGAGGCACAAAAGCTGGATTCTTTCCTTTGTCTGAGTTTAGACCCATCTCCCTAGAA